AAAAAAAAAAAAAAGTATATTGTTTTATTTTACACAAAACAACAAATATGTACTTATTTAATATACATTGTAAACACTTAACCAGAGACTTAATTTAAAACAAAACAAGTTATTTCACTTCTGGGTGTTTACCCACAAGAAGTGAAGTCATATTTCTATGCATACCTTCACAGCGATTTTATTTGTAATAGTTTTAAATTGGTAACAACACAGATGTCTATACAGACTGTGCTATTGGCATACTGTGGAATACCACTCAACAATAAAACAGAATGAGCTACAGATAAGATGAAACAATGTGATGAACTTAAAAGTAATTTGGGGCTGGAATGAAGCTCGGTTGTAGAGCACTTGCCTAGCATGCATGAGCCCCAACATGTGGCAAATGAATAAATGACCCCACTTTATTTTTATTTGTTTTATTTACAGAATGAAAGAGACCAGGCAGGGCTGGGGATGTGGCTCAAACGGTAACGCGCTCGCCTGGCATGCACGGGGCGCTGGGTTCCATCCTCAGCACCACATAAAATAAAGATGTTGGGTCTGCCAAAAACTGAAAAATAAATATTAAAAAAAAGAAAGAGACCAGGCAACAAAGTCTCCCACCCATGTCCCACCCTGGTAGGGAGAATGGGGTTCCCTTCAGTGGAATGGGCTAGCTGAGCAATAAAAGCTAGGAAAAATAGAACGGCAGATGAACCGTAGAACATAAAAAGTAGTTTCAAAAGCAGAGGCAGGACTGGCAAGCTGACCAGACAGATGGGGCTCCTGACAAAATGGGGCCTGTGCCTGCTTTATTTATATCCAGAGACATTGAAGAGATTCTATAAAATGTTCTTTTCCAAAAAAGGTTAAAGGTGGCTGGGGTTGTGGCTCAGTGGTAGAACACTTGCCTCACATGTGTGAGACACTTGGTTCGATTCTCAGCACCACATATAAATAAATGAATAAAATAAAGGTTCATCAACAGCTAGCTTTAAAAAAAAAAAAAAGGTTAAAGGTAGGCTGTTCAGTTCTTAATGGGTTATGCCATCTCTGGTGCTACTATGAGGAACCTTTCTAGCAGAGCAGAGGGGAAGGTCACATGCTTTTAGCTGTCAGTCACTGCAGGAGAGCCACTAGAAGTTCCCAATGCCAGGCCTATCCCTCCTTGGCTTCCATGCCAAGAGAAGGTCCTCATGTATTTCATGGTCCTCATGTATTTCACTGGGTTCGATCCTCAGCACCACAAAAAAAATAAAATAAAGGTATTGTGTCTACCTACAACGCCAAAATCTATAGTTTACACTCTTGATTTTGTGTGTTCTTTGGGTTTGGAAAAGGTATAGACATGTACCATTATTATAGTATTATATAGGATAGTTTCAGTGTCCAAAAAAATGTGCTATGTTCTGTCTGTTCATCTTCTCTATCCCCAGCTTGATATAGTTTTTATTTATTTTATTTTACTGATTTATTTTTATTATTATTGATTGTTTTTTAAGACAGGGTTTGTGTTGCCCAAGCTGGTCTTGAACCCTGGGCTCAATGATCTTGCTGCCTCAGCCTTCTGAGTAGTTAGAACCATGAGCATGTGCTACCATACCTGGCTAACCACTTAGCTTTTACTGTCTTCATAGTTTTGCTTTTCCTGAGTGTCATGTAATTGGAATCATACAGCATGTGGCCTCTTCAGATTGACTTCTTTCACTTAGTAATAAGCATTTAAATTTCTTCTGTTGTCTTTTCTTGGCTTGATAACTAATTTCTTTTAAAGATATGTAATATTTCCTTATTTGGATATACCATAGCTTATCCATTCATCTACTAAAGACCATGTACGTTGCTTTCAAGTTTTAGCAATTATAAATAAAGCTGCTATAATTACCCATGTGCAGGCTTGTAAAGGCATTCATTGGTGTAAGTAAAGAGTGCAATTGCTGGGCTGGGGCTGTGTAGCTCAGTGGCAGAGCGTTTCCTTAGCATGTGTGAGTTTGACCCTTAGTACCATATAAAAAAATAAATAAAGGCATGCTTGCTGTCCATCTATAAAAATTTTTTTAAGTGAAATTGCTTTGTCATAGAGTAAGACTGTGTTTAATTTTGTAAGAAACCACCAAACTGTCTTCCAAAGTTGGTGTACCATTTGCATTTCTACTAGCAATGTCTGTATCCTTGCCCGCATTGGTGTATATTGTCTGTGTTCTGGATGTTGGCCATTCTAATAGATATATAGTGGTATTTCATTGTCTCCCTCCCTCCTTCCTTTCTTTCTTTCTCTTTCTCTTTTTCACTGAGCATTGAACCCAGGAACACTTTGCCACAGAGCTACATCCCCAGTCCTTTTTATTTATTTATTTATTTTTTATTTTGAGACAGGATCTAAGTTGTTGGAGTCTTACTAAGTTTCTGAGGCTGCTCTCGAACTTGCAAACCTCCCTTGGCCAGTCCAGTCACTGGGATTATAAGCATGTACCATTATGCTGACTCTCCTTGTATTTTAATTCACATTTCTCTAAAATGATGTGAAACATGTTTTCATATGTTGATCTGTCTTGTGTTTTGTTTTTGGTAAGGTGTCTCTTGCCCATTTTTTTTT